ATCAACAAATTAGTCTACCTGGTAAGTACCATTTAAATAATGTCATGTCAATTAGGTGTAAGACTTCTGCAATTTATAAAGAATTTTTATGTATGTTGTTAATATTTAAGATTTAATGCATTGCAGAAACTATGTTGAGTTGAACATAAGTTACACATTCAGTCAATTTTTCAGGATTCTTTAAAATTAATATCTTATGAGAATAGATGTTATAATATAAAGAAATTAATTTCAATGGGTACCTAGGTATTAATATACTTATGGGATACCACAATATGAGACCAAATCATCAAACATTCAATTTGTCCATCACCAATAAAATAAATAATACCTATAAGTAGGTAATAGTCCATATTATTACCAAAAATATTACGGAAAAAATAACACGTACAAAATATCATTGTTTTTAAATAATTGCAACTTTTACTAGGTAGAATGGTAGATACCTAAGTATAATAATTCAAGACCTATATTATATTAACTTTATACGTCAACGATGAACATGGCACACTTCATTATCGAAAAATGGATTTAAAAATGTTGAAGGAAAATACCTAAATTTCATTTTACATCGAAGAAAAATATGTCAATATACTCAATAGGTGCCTATTACCTACTTATAACCTATGTTTCGTAATTTATTAATTATTTAATTTTTCTTATAAATAATTAGTTAATAAAATGTATGTGTACTTACCGGATTGTCCGTATTGACGAAGTTTGTCAAGGTTAGGTTGAAACGCTTTCAGGTGAATGACGAATAGCTTGAACACTAGGTATGCATATACAGCGGACTAAACGGAGTACAGACGCGGAAATGGCATAAAAATGGGTGAATGACGAATAACCAAGATGAGTAGACATAAAACAACCGAATCCACGGAGTACTAGAGATGTGTCGTTCATGAACGACCTAGTTCAATTGAACTATTCACTAAAGTGAACGATATGAACTAGTTCACGGTTTAGATGAACGACTCGTTCATCGTTCATTTCGTTCATATCGTTCACATCATGAACTTATACACTAACTGTGGACGATGAACGAGTAGTGAGAACGGAAAACCTTCGGATTATTAAGGTACGTTTTCCTAGGAGCGCGTTTTTTGCGTCGTGTATAACGTATTACGCTTAGCGCAGTGCCGCAGTACGTCATCCACTTATTCTTTTGAAATTAATCACACTGTTTTCCTACAGAGCGCAACACGTTGCGTGTCAGCGCAATAAGCTCGGCGCGATTCGCCGACTGACGAGAGAGGCAGTCTATTGCGTTGCGCGCAGCGTTTTATAGAAATTGTGGTTTTCTATTTTGCTATTTTATATTATATTAAAGTTTTTTCAAAATAATAAAATGCATAAAAGTAGTTGTGTTGGGCCGAGCGTTCGTTTTTCGGGTGACGATGACGATCAGTTGATTGCATTTGTTAGTAATCATACAATATTATATGATTTGAAGCATCCGGATTTCAAAAACACATTAAAAAAAGATCTCATATGGGAGGAAGCTGGAAAAATTTTGAACAGGACAGGTAAAAAAATATGTTTATATGTAGATTTTTTAGAATTATAATTGCATATTTATTCATAAACACAACTTCATTTTTTCCTCATTTCGTTTTTACTTTTCAATTTACACAATTTAATTTTATCAATTCATATATTTAGTCTGTTGTCGCAATGAAACCTGTTCCATATAATCCATATAAATAAAGATATTTTGTACTATGGCGATAATATTATATTCTATAATTAAATAACCTAAATAGTTTTAAATTATACAATAATATTTTGCTGACCGTCGTCATATTTTACATGTGTGCAATGATTGTCACTTGTATCTATATATAATATATTTTCCAAGAAACGACTGTGGTCTGCGATAATGCAATAACAACAATATTTATATGATAAAATAAACATTAAGTATATTATTACGTCTTGTTTTGTATTTATTATTAAAGTATTTATATAATATGAAAAGAATTACCTAATATTATTATTAATATTAATTTTTACACTATTTGTAACATTCAAAAACTAAGGTACTATACTAGTATATATACACCACATATATACCACTTATATTACTACTATTACACTTATATTTATATTTATATTTAAAAGTATGAATTTTATTGTAGTTAAGTATTCAATCTTCATGGTTAGTAAAATCCTGGGTACTGAAGTAATCAGTAAATCTACTTCTCACTTGAAATCCGTCAGACTTGGTAAAACCACCTGTACCTGCTAAAGGAATCATATTTTGTGTAGGGAAATCTTCTACGTCTTGGTATTTAACCAGTTGGGAGGGATTTCTATGTATATAATCATCTCTGAGCATATTATGCAAGCAACAGCACACTACAATGACCGAGTCTACAGTTTCAGGTTTCAGATTTATGGGAGTGAAAAAAATTCTAAAAATCGCACACATAATTCCAAAAGCATTTTCAGATACTCTTCTGGCTTTGCTCAGTCGGTAATTGAACTTCCTTTTATGCGGATCTTCTAACATCTGTGCTTTAGAGTATGGCTTCATTATATGCTCACTTAACCGGAACGCTTCATCACCAACTATTACGTGAGGTAGCAAGATGTTAGAATGCGGGAGGAATTTCGAGGGCGGAAATATAGTTTCGTTTTTTACCAACAACCCCATTTTCGACTTATTAAAAATGCCTGCATCGCCCTCCTTTCCATACGAACCAACATCAATAACTACAAACTTGCAATTAGCATCAATCATTGCAAGAAGTACAATAGAAAAAAATCCTTTGAAGTTGAAATACAAACTTCCCGACTTAGAAGGTGCCACTATTCTCACATGTTTGCCGTCAATGGCTGCAACACAATTAGGGAAATCCCAACGTTTCTTAAATTCTTCAGCCTTTTGGTTCCAGTTTATCTGGTCTGGTGAAGGTAGAAAAATAGGTACAAGTTGTTTTTGTATCGCAGCCAAAACCTTGGGTACAAATGTGCTTATAGCAGAAGGAGAGATGCGGTAACCAAATGCCAGCGATCTAAATGATTCTCCTGTGGCTAGAAATCTGAAACGAATAGTTATATGTATATGAATTAGTCAGCACCATTTTACAGAATGAACATTTGCTATTTTTTGAATTTTGTTATATAGGTACGTTATTTTGCGGATTCATTTTCGGTTTTTGCGGATTACTAGTTTTTTTCACAAAATAATGTATATAACAAATATAATGAGTATTATGTACATTGTACATTAGAGTGGTCCTTATAATGGCCAATATGAAAAAAAAAATTATATAAAAAAAGAATAGAAAACTAGGTGTATATGTATCTTTGTGTTTGATTGTTATAGGAACTGAGTGCACAAAGCGATTTATATGCATATATATATACCTTAATGATTTTTTTATATGGAGAGTAAGCTGATTTAATAAATAATTTTCAAGATTTTTTAAATAAAATGAATTATCATTTTTCATAGATCACTTACCTAAGAGTAAGAGCCAATTTTTCCGCAGCAGTTATAGGTGTTTTTACTCTGTTGTATGAGGCAGTTGTCAAATCCCCTTCTACAAGGTTCAAAATGTAGGCAAACATCTCACGAGTTACTCGGAAATAACTTTTAAATCGTTGCTCTTCATCGACAAGGTGGTTATTTATCAACATTTTGAAAATTCCCTCGTTTTCTCGTTTTTTATAAATCTCACTGACTTTCTTTCTTAAATTCCAATGTTCATGGAGCATATATTCTTCATCTTCGTCATCGATTGTTAAATGTCGAAGAATAAGCAGTGCAATTAGTTTTTTCTTCCTTTTAAGACGATTCACTGCAATTGCAAAATTATTAATTAATAATTATAATAATATAATAATAATTAATAATAATACTGTACTAGTAATATTGTATTTACTTAATAAATTATTACAAATACACTACACACTGATCACACTTCCAGTAGTCAACTGAATTGTTCAACGCGCCACCACTATATTTTATAGAAAAACACTTTTACGCCGCGTAATACGTTTTACGCTCACGCCGACGAGATACAGCTATCACGTCGACGTGATCGGTTTCTGCGGCGCAAAAAACGCGCTCCTAGGAAAACGTACCTTTAGTGTTCACTTTTTTTTGTGTTTCATCTGTTTAAACTGTATTATGTAATTATGTACCACCGTGTTATCACACTAGACACACTATGTGTTTATGTACATGTACAAAGTGTTTATGTGTTATCGAAAAATTGAAAAATATTCATGTCATGATAGTCGATGATACTTAAATTAATTTGCTCGTTTGCAAGTAATTAATTTTAGTTATACTTAATTATATAACTGATAACTATTTTCTACTAGGTACATTAGTGAAAGACATACATTATACACTTATTTTAATGTCAAAACAAAATTATAAGGTAATAATAAAAACTTTGAATAACAAATATCAAAATAATGTAAAACAAAATAAAATAACTGTTACTGTATAAAATAATAAAATAACGATCAACTATTAAAAATTAAAATTATATGATATGTCAATGGTATTTTGCTATCTAGCTGGTACTTAATACATTAATATATTTATTCTTATTTGAATGTCAACATAATGCATAATATCTATTATATAAAAACAAAATTAAAAGGTAATAATAAAAACTTTGAATAACAAATATCAAAATAATGTACAACAAAATAAAATAAAACAATATGTACCATTGTACCAAACAGTTCAAAATAATAGAATAATTATAACTTTTAAAAACTAACACTTTAATAATAATCATTTATTTTTATAAGTTTTGATTCAAAAATAAAACCTGTGATGACTTTGAGGCCAGTAACCGTTATCTTTTTTCTGTAATTACCATACCTGCTTTACTGAATAGCCTCTCACATGGCACAGAAGTAGCTGGGACACATAATCGTTTTTTCACCATTATAAATAGACGTGGATACAATTATTTGTGTTTGGCCCACCATTGTAATGGATCTTCATGCCTATTTATGAGAGGTTCATTTCAGTATCTGTCCAATTCAATAATTCCAGCCGCTGTTGGATTTAGTGTACTAGTTGTCTTTTTATATTCTTCATCAAAATGTTTCCATAATAATGATGATTTTGGTGTTGCACTTTCATTAGCTGGTGCAATTTCATTATCTGCACCAGACAAATAAACTTGACAGAATTTTCTTTTTAAGTGTTCAATCGCTAAATCCAATTTTCTTGTATGATAACCACTAAAAGCAATTTTCTTAAATCGTGGATCAAGCAGAGCTGCTTGAGTAACAATTTAACTATCTTCATATCCTAAAAATCTTGAATTCAATTCATCTAATAATGTTGAGACCAATTGTTTCACATCATTTGGTAAAGCTATATTATTTTTAAAACTATGCATTGCGTCTGTCATTGCTCGAATAAAAATGAGTGTTTTGGACATGCTTACATATTGGTCACTGCTTATTTCTCTGGTGACTTCCGAAAAAATTTGTAAAATTTCTGTTGAATGTTCAATAATTTCCCATTCTGTTACAGTCAAATTTTCTACAGTACATTGGAGAATAGCTAATGTAGATACTACAGCATCTTTGATTTCTAATATTCGTTTGAACATATCATGAGTGCTATTCCATCTGGTAATTACGTCTTGTTTCAATTTTAACGGTGACAAGCCCAATTGTTTTTGTATATCCTGGAGTTTGGATTGGGCGTGCGAACTTCTTTTAAAATGTTCTACAATTGATTTAACTTTTTTTTGAACGTTAATAATTTTTTTTAATCCTTTTTGAACTACCAAATTGACGTTATGTGCAAAGCAAGATATATGTCGAAAATTACTGTCCTTTATGGCCCCTACAATGTTAGGTGCATTATCACTGACAACTGCTACTATTTTGTGCTGAATACCCCATGTACAAACTATATTTTTTAAAAATACTGAAAGATTTTCAATTGTATGTCTCTCATTGAAATTCTCACAGCCAAGACATACTGATTGAAGTAAAGAATTTTCATTAATAAAGTGACCAGTAACTCCTAGGTAGCTTTCATTTTTTATTGATGTCCAACCGTCGGTTGTCAAACATACTGCAAAACTATTCATCATGTAACCTTGTACTTTTTCGTATGTTTGTTGATATAAAAGGGGTATCATGCTGTTAGATACTGTTTTCCTTGAAGGCAAGTTGTAGCTACCATTTAACATTTTTAAAAATTTTTAAACTCTTGGTCCTCCACTATATTAAATGGATAATATCTAAAAAAAATATTGCTAATTTTATTAATTTTTAACAAAATAATATTAATATATAAAATATGATAAATATTATAAAATATATAATATATCTATATCTATATATATATATATTGTATAGAGAAGGGGATTATTTTTACATAATTCTCATTTCTCGTTAATTGTTACTAATTAATTATGTATGAAATATTTTATATTTTAGACTAAAAATCAATCACAATTATTCATATAAAAAATGTACAGAATATGCAAAAAGAAACTCTATAATATTAGGAATTTATAGAAATTAACTAATAGGTAATTAGAAACAAACTCTTATTTAATTACTGAAATGATGAAGATAGAGAGATATTATTTAAATAAAATATATTACGACCTTGGTGTATATTGTATCTGTATTCTGTATATTCTATATTAATGTTATTGTTATTATTATTATTATCATTGAATATTTACCCTTTTACAATCATTTTAGTCAATTGTTGATCAATTCTCTTTTGATGATTAACATCTAATGGTCTTGTTTTATTAAAATATGATGATATTGCAGACTGTCTTGGACGAGAAAAAGATTCTGTCGTGGATGGACCTGGAATAATTTCAGTTCCTGATGAATTTGAAGTTGTTCCTGATCCTGACGGTTCAGGCATAAATAATTCATCAGTCATTTCTAAAAAAAAAAATTCTGTGCTAAAAAAAGATACATTTTAAAGTACGAATGAACCAACCTTCGACAGGACGTCTTTCACTTGAATTAAACGGAATAGTACAATGTTTCAACTTCAAGTGTCGCTTTAAATTGTTTAACGAACCTCCCGAAGTACTAAGGATAACACTACAATAACCGCATTTGGCCTTCTGGTGTGCAGACTCGGTGAAATGATTCCAAATTTCACTTGTTTTAGACCGATGAGGTGCCATATATACACGTTTAACAAAATAAAAATATAACAATTTGGCTCAGAACGACGGTATATGTTTACAAGTCAGAAACAATTTACTAACTATTGTAAAAATCTTTTAACTTAAAACCTATAATTAAATAAAAATGTTTTGATCCCCTCCCCAATTAATATAAGAAAACAATTAACAAGCAGATTCCTCCACAAAATATAAACATATTATTAGGCTCGGGCCACACGATATGTTATTGCCACATGCGGTAATATGCGTCTTCACCGCGTGCGTTGGGTTTTTGTACGGGCCGTTTAGTTTTAAATAGACCAAGCCACACGACCGCGACGCGGTGTTGACTCATGCGGTGTATTTTCGATTTGTCAATTTTTTAATTTTAATTTTTAAAAATGTTCGATTTTGAAAAACTAATTATCGAAGTTGAGTCAAGACCATGTCTGTGGAACAAATTTCCCAACTGTTTTTTAACACGTCGGGAAAAACTAACAAAAAAATGGAAAAATTTAAGTGGCACAATTATGGGGATTGAGGAGGTGGTATTCCATTGAAATATGTGTAAAAGTTTAAAAAAAAATAATGTACAGTGTTTTCAGTAAGTATCTTTAAGTTGTAAGTGCATACGATAACAAAATAATTCAAATATTGTGTCGTTATTAATTATTTTGTGAATTGATGAAAAAATATCACAATATCGTCGTTATAATTATTAATTGAACTAGTTCGTTTATGAACGAGCTAGTACCTTCTTAATCGTTCATGAACGATTCGTTGATACGGAGTAATAATTATTGAACTAGTTCGTTCATGAACGATTCTTTGATACGGCGACGTATTCATACGAACGAATCGTCAAATATATGAACGATGAACTAGTTCAGTGAACTAGTTCAATTTAGAGAACGATGAACGACTGAACTAGTTCACCTTAATGAACGATAAGTCCCATCTCTACGGAGTACAGACTACAGACAAATAGACAATTGACAACACTACAACAGTGAACAGACGGCGTAATGCTCTAATGCGTATACTTGGCATAAAAATAGTAGATTGTTATCGAATATCGTTATTGTCGGGTTTTTTCCATAGTCTTGTAATATATATATATTTTTCGGCTATCGCTATCGTACATTCGTAATTCGTATATTATACAGCTATTCCATATTCGTAATCCTGCGGGCAGCAGTGCATGGTCGTCGTCGATCGCCGGTTATCGGGATTCGGGAAATACCGATTTGAGCGATTTCATATTATTATATTTAAATAATAATTAGATATTAGATATTGTCGAAGATTGTAGATATTCCGATAGACGGCATTATTGCGGCAATGACCAATATAATAATATTATTATATATCAATATCACTAATCATTATATGACACTATATAATATATTATATTAGTAAGTCATAAACTCATAACTAAGAAATATGATATAATATAATATTAATATTAACTATTAAGTATATTATATTGGAATTGGAACATACAACAAAATATGTATACATAAACGCGAGGAACACACGCATATAAGAACTGGTTATATTGTAGAATATAATGTTTATGATATCACACTGCACATTGATGTGGGTTTTCTTATAATTTTTATCATATAATAATATAGTTGTATTATATAAATTAGAAATTAGAAACAATATACTATTGATCTATTTATACTTATTTATTAATTTTGCAAACGAGTACAAGATAAAATTTAAAATGCTTGGCCCAATTATAGTACAGTCAATATTATTAGGTACTTATTAGTTATTACTTTATTAGTATACAGTTGTATACTAGTAAACTATTAGTATTATTAACACAGAATAGATTAATAATATAAAAATCATAATTGTTGATTAAACTGAAGATAATAATTAACTTGGTTAATTTAAATATACCACTACCTTCTTCCTTTTCTGATATTAAAATAAACCTAACTATGTGCAAAAGTATAAATTTATAATATTAATATTTATTGAATATATATAATAGTATAATACTAATATTTAATGAATATGGTTTTTAAATATTAATTAAACACTATTATCTAACATTGATATTTATTTATATTTAATCATTGTTAAATATTTACTAATAGTTGAATTTTGAATATTGTTTACATAATATTTTATAAATATATTCTAAATATTGCACTATAAATAATAGTTTTAAAATATTTAATTATTGATGTAAGAATATTGAAAATTAAATATTAACTATTTAATCAAAATTAAATATTTATCAACCTGTATCATTGAAAATTGTTACTTGGGTGTTGTACTTATTACACTTCCTATTGATGAGCTGATTTTTATATGCTTATTAAATCACATGTCATTGATATGCAGTTAAATATCATCATAATAATAACACATACAACACATACGTTGAAAATTTAAGCTGTTAATATTTGAGATTGTCATTATACACTCATTACAACGGACTTCCTTTGATACTGTAGGTAGTTCAACCACTCCTTGAGATTGCGACACCAGGTGGTCAACTGGAAGCAGAAGTGGCAATCCCTGGTAACAACGGGATGGAGATAGAAGTCGAAGTCCAAGTGGAAGATGTAATGATGCACCTAGCTGAAGAAGAAATGCTACCAGAGGAAGTGGTACAAGATGACATTGAGTATGTGGATTTACTTCCTGCTGACGTAGAGGCAGAATTTGAATTCAGGGATGCACTTGACGTTTTACTACCAGACGTTAATGAAGAAGTTAGTAAATACATCTTATTAAAATCAAAATAAACAATTAAAACATTATATTCTTAATAACTGTGCATTTTAATTGCAGTTCGTACCGATTCCTCCTGTTGTACCGAGAGCACGTGCGCCCATGAGAGACCGTCCGGCTGGTATTCAACACGAACTTCCAGATCGGCATGACATAGGACCATTGAATGTTGTCTGCCCACACTGTGGTGCCCGCCATTTCTCCTGCGAGCGTACTTCAACGGGTCATTTTTCTACGTGTTGCAATAATGGTCAAATGGCTGTTACAGGAGACCGTGTTTTGGGTCCACCACCAGAGTTATTAATTCGTTTGTTGGTTGATGATTCGCAGGTAGCAAAACACTTTCGGAAAGAAATACGCCGGTACAACAACACTCTGGCATTTGCGGCTTTCTTACTGCTCTGAGCCCAAGACGTTTGCCTGGACAGGGACCAAGAGTATTCTCCGTTCACGGGCAAGTGTATCGTAGGATTAGTAATGATGTTGTCAGAAATGAACTAATGCAACCAAGGTATTGTGAGTTGTACTTTATTGAATCCGGGACTGCAAATCACATTCGCATGGCACAACAGCCACGTGAACGACCACTATTGGAGAATTTGCTTGCAGACTTAGACAGACTGTTGCGGCGAATCAATCCATTTGCAGTGGCTTTCGAGTAATATATATTACTTTAAATTATTAACATATACATAATCTAGCAAAATGCGTGCATCACACTCATTAACAAACTATAGTTATAAAATCAAATCAAAATATTACTTCAAGTAGTAGTGTATTGAACACACATTACATTAGTATAGGTAATGCACTTTTACGTATTTCTATATGATACAACGAATAACTTTGGTTAACATTGCATTGAATACATATTTGTGTGGACAGTAGTGCAAAATTTTTGTTTAAAAATTGGACAAATGCATATGGACATTGCTTAGATATATGTAGATATATCATGTGGTTTTACCAGGGCTTGAAATCGAAACAAAAATTTTCGATTTTAATTTCAATTTTGCTTATCGATATTAATATTTTTCGATTTCGATTTAAAAATAATATATTGATTTTGTGATTTTATGATTTTTATATTGATGCAGAATATCGATTTAATTATATTATGATTTCGATTTTAAATATAATTTTCTTTTATTTCAAATTAAGTTTAATTTTAAAATTTAAATAACATTATTTCGATATCACTGATATTAGTGAATTATTTTCAATTTTTGAACTATGATTGTATATTATTTTTTATTACTTTAACATTTCAAACAAGTTAAAGTAATTATCCCATTCTCAGAAAACAAAATATTAGACATTAGTCATTAATTATTAGTAGTTATTACTATACACACTATTGTGCATGATATACAATATGTATAGTCAAAGTTATTACCCAATTTAACATTGAGTGTGCATATGAAAAATATTAATTATAAATAGACCTGATATGTCTGTATGCTTGTATACTTTTGATTTTTTTTTTAAATTTATTTAAAATTGATTTGATTATATTGTAATGATTTCGATTTTGATATAAAATATCGATTTTAACTTTTTTCAATTTTAATAGAAATTTTGAAAATCATTTACAAGCATTCACGATTTCGATATTAATTTTGATTTTTTAAAAAAATTTTAACGATTTTTATCGATATTTAAAATCGATTTT